TAAGAAGTAACATTTACAACTTCTCCTTCTTTGATATGTTCACGTTTATACACCTAACACCAGGGTGCAAGTGTTTGCCAAGTCTATACACTGATTGCTAGAGCGTATCATGTTATTGTACCCAGAGCATATATGCAAGTCAGCATTCTCAAACTGCAGTTATCGTTTAGTAGGTGGAGTTCCGTTTTATAGATAATGAAATAGTATCTTTGGCACACTCGGCAAGTATGCTACAGGTGTGTCAATGTCCTGAAAAGTCAAAACAGAATATCTGAATATGGATCAGAAGTCTTCTGCAGTGTTCTGGATGCTACTGTTTTCTCCCCAGATTTTGTTGACCTCAACAATGGCAGGTTCTATGTGGGGGTCTGTGCGTTTGTGAAAGTTCAGCTTAAGGTAAGTGCATTTTTGTTTTCTCTGTCTATAGTTGAGCAATCGCTTAAAGCGGTGAATGAAAGTTCACACACAGGCCAGACTGTGGTTCAGAAGAGTACTGTACATCCAGCTTAGAAGGATTAACAAGGCCTAGGAAAGCACAGCAACTAGCTGGAAGTGTTGTATATGCAGAACTCCCTTATACTTAGCATTTTTTAAATTCTACTTCAGGATGGGTCATACCATGAAGATGTGGGGTACGGAGTGAGCGAAGGCCTAAAATCTAAGGCCTTGTCCTTAGAAAAGGCAAGAAAGGAGGCAGTAACAGATGGACTGAAGAGGGCACTCAAGTAAGTGAAGATCAGTACTTGTACGTTTTCAGAAGTGAGGTGAGAATTTAGTGTTATTTTCAATCACAGTGAGCTCTCTTGTCTCACAGGTGCTTTGGGAATGCTCTTGGGAACTGCATCCTAGACAAAGACTACCTACGAGCTGTGAATAAGCTTCCGCATCAGGTACAATAAACGGGCTTTTGAAGCAGGGCCAGGTAGACGTTCATTGCTCCTAGTCCTTCACGTTAAAAGGAAGGACTGCCTTCCTTTTAAGGAAGGAAAAGTAACAACGTAAGTTTATTTCAAAAGGTCGTTTCAACTTTCAGTTAACCAACTTGGATTCTTCCCAAAAGAACATTGCAAAATACAAGATGTATCTATGATATAATGGAGGAACCAGGATTTTTAGACCAGACCTACAACTGCTTTTAGTTGTTGCCGGTCGCTTCAAAGTCTTACTGCAGCAAAGCACAATAGGTAACAGTATATTTTGTTCTGTTGCTTCTTGAGGAGTGCACCTCTCCCTGCAAATGTCTTCTGCTTGACTTCAAAATGTGTTGGTACCTAAAATCTGCAATTGAATTTGGAGAGCAGTGTATACGAGGTTTGGCTGCTGGAGGGTGAGAAAAAGTTAAGAAGACTTACACTACAATTTTATGTTGTTTTAAATACTTGATGCTATATCTGGCAAACAGTGGCTCTTGAATGTACAAAGAGTTAGTGTCTACAACTGTATACTTGAAAGATTACTTTCCTTGCCATGACTATGGTTCTTGCCTTTACTCAACAGTAAGAAGCCTT